TGAACACACGACAGTGGCCTGGGCTCCTGTTCCTCAGGCCACCTCAGAGGGCCTGATCTCAGAAGTCTTTATGAGCCCTAGCTTGCCATTTCACCTTCTTTTTACTTTATTTATTTTATTTATTTTTAGACAGAGAGGTAGGGAGGGAGAAAGAGGGAGAGAAACATCAATGTGTGGTTGCCTCTTGCATGGCCCACACTGGGGACCTAGCCCACAACCCAGGCATGTGCCCTGACTAGGAATCGAACCGGTGACCCTTTGGTTCGCAGGCCAGAGCTCAATCCACTGAGCCATACCAGCCAGGGCTCACCCTCTTTTTATTTATTTATTTGTTTATTTATTTACTTATTTATTTTAGAGGGGTTAGGGAGTCAAAAAGACAGGGAGAGAAACATTGATGTGTGAGAGAAACATCTATTGGTTGCCTCTCGCATGCTCCCAACTGGGGACCTGGCCCACAACCCATGCCTGTGCCCTGACCGGGAATTGAACTGGTGACCCTTCAGTTCACAGGCCACACTGAGCCACACCAGCCAGGCTCATTTCGCCTTCTCTAGAGAGGCTGAGGCAACTCGACAGCTCGAGGCCTGAGATCAGCAGACCATGCTGGAAACTCAGGAGAGGGGGCTATGGGTACCTTGAACTTGGTGGGGTGGTTGTCTGGGATGCTGTCTCTATTCAGGCAGCTGCAGCAGCTCCCCATGGTGTCAGAGCAGCGAGCCCACCCTAGGGAAAAGCATAAGAGATAAGAAAGTCGTCAAGGTGAGTTCCACAAAGTCCTGTTCTAGGAAACTCTGGCAGAACTGCCTCATGGTGATCACTTACTCTGCCCAAGGGAATATATGGCACAGTCCCTCTCTCAAGAAATCCCCACTCTCAGCCCAGGGCCAGACACACAGGGATAAACATTAACTCAAGTTAGGATATGTTAAAGATTAATGCTGGCAGGGGTATGGAAAGAGCTTCTCAGGTGTATCATTTGATCTAGACCTTGAGAAGTACATAGGGTTTTAGCTGATGTAATGACAGGAAAGGGAGGCCCGGTCAACAAGGAAAACATTTTAAAAAAGCAGGGACTCAGAAGTGATTTGCATCAGAAGGAGTTGGGTGCCAGCCTGGGGCCTTGTCCAGATTCAGCAAAGAAATTAATTTGGGAGTCCTGGACACTTCAGCCTGTACTTTTCTCCTTTTCCGCCTCATTCTTCCCGCATCACACAAATCCCCTTTTCCTCCCTCACTACCATCCCCACACCCACCTCAGCTTTACAAGGTGCTACATTACGGTCAAAAGATGCACTCAGAAGACTGAACATTTAAAACAGAGCACACTTCTTATTGCCCTGGCTGGGGGGCTCAGTTGGTTGGAGCGTCATCCCATACACCAAAAGATTGTAGGTTCGACTCCCAGTCAGGGCACATAACTAAGTTTAGGGTTTGATCCCATGTCGGAGCACATATGGGAGGCAACCGATGGATGTTTCTCACATCGATGTTCCCCTCCCTCTCCCTCTCTCCCTTCTTTTCTCTCTAAAATCAATAAACGTATCCTTTACGTGGGTGAGGATTAAAAAAAATAAATAAGTAGAAATACAACAGAGCACACTTTTTATATAACCTTGATTAGGCATTTCCTCATTTAAAAAAATGCTGGGTTTGCTTTCTGACAAAGGGGAGACATATTCTTGGCTTTCCCCTCCAAGATTATGGCACTTGGACTGCATGTCAGAATAGCAGGACTTGTGCCTAGGATGGAGAGGGTGCCGCCAGGTTTGAGGGGCCTTAAGGAGCAAGCAAACACACACACTGATTCCAACCAGATGCTAAGGGGTTGCAGGTTGCTTCAAGAAATGGGTCTGTGAGATTACATATCCTTTCAGAACCATCACTGAAGGTATAAAGCCCTTGCTCAAGCCTGCCCTACACCTTCCATTCCTCCCAACTTGGGAAACTCCAGGAAGTGGCTCCTATACACAGCTCTCACCTCACCCAGGCCATCGGGGAACTGACCATTGAAGGGGCATGGGGAAGGACCCCCACTTTAGTCTCCCTGTTCTTGGTGGGGCATCATGGCAAGCGATCTGCAGAGACGTCACCTGGATCCCTCCAGGACACACCTGGGGTTCACCTAGCAGAGGAGACAGAGACCACAGGCTAGTGGACACATTCCATCCTCACCAACTGTCAATGAGACTGACTTGCTGTCAGTCCATGCCACCTGGATCTGTTCCAGATCCTAGTGGGACAGAAACGCCAATGAATAAAGCAAGATCAAGGGCAAAGGGACCACAAATTCTGAGCTCCCTAAGCCCTGGGACGATACTCCCCTAGCATCAATGGGTTGGAAGTCTGAGGCAGCCCAAGACCTTTTAAGTGGCCTCCCGACCCCACCTGAATCCTGCTACAACCAACATCAAAACCACCACCTCACCTTTGCAGAGAACTTTACAAAGGGGTTTCTCAAAAAGACACTATGATGGACTGGAAAAAGCGCTTGCTTAAGATTCAGAAACTAATACTGTAGTCTGTTTTGTTGCTACTAAGTACTCAGGAGACTGCCAAGTCAACCCCCCTACCACCACCCACAACACCCGCCCCAAGGCCTTAGTTTTTAAGGGAAATATCTGTAAACTGTGGAGCTTTGCACCTTAAATAACCTCTAGTGGTAAGTATGTGGACAAACCTCACGAAAATGTTCCCTTTTCAGGACAATCTCACATTTGGAAGCTTTTTTAGATTTTCTCTTCTCCAAGCTTTGAAAGACCTAAAATTTTAACACAAATGCTAACAATAAACCAAAGCTTCAGTGATCTAGAGCCAGGCAGACAAACTGACAGGCCAGGACCCTGGAGACTCTTGAGATCCCATCTCCTCTCTGGAAAAACACTATCATTTCCCAGGGCCCCTTGTGCTCTGCATCCTTGGAAAACTTCCCAGGCAAAAGGACCCCCATCCTCTTGGTCTGGCTTTTTCCCACCGTGAAAGGTGGAAGCAGGCTGAGTGAGGTGTGCACTGGGGTAAGGCCAAGCGGCTGGGAAAATACTGGAGCTTGAGCCCGCATACAACAAGGAGTCTGGGGGTGAGACCAAGAACCAACTACAGGGAGGAGGGCATTGCACCTTTTCCTGTCCCCTTCCCTCTAAGATCATGAGGACATGTCACGACAGCCAAATGAGAGGGATTACATTGGATGAGAAGAGGGCTCCGGCCTGGGATAGGTTTGGATTGGGGGCAGGAGTTAAGAGGTTATGAGTACTCAAAATGTATGAGAGGGCTGGGGAAACGTGGGCAGTTTTTTGGATTTGAATATGGTGCAAGGCGAATGGGGAGAGGGTATGGTGAATCAGAGGAATTTCAGGGCGATGGAAGCATTTTCGGGCATCCAGGACAGAATGTGGCTCTGTGGGCGTATCGCAAATTCACAGGAGTGAGGGGTTCTGAGGGCAACAGGACGTGCGAAGGTGTGACGGGGGTGGGGGTGGGGTGGTGCTGAAGAGGGAGAGGCATTTAGGTTGCGGGGCTGTCAGGGAGATTTCTAGACATCGAGAAGGAATGGGGGAGTTCGGGTCAGCGCGTTGTCCCCGGATCCCAGCCCCCAGCCCCGGGGCTCCATCACCTGCCCCGCCCGCCCGGGGTTTCCGCAGATAGGAGCGAGACTGCAGCGCGGCGCGGTGCGGCCTCTGTGGAGCCGCCTCGTCCCCGCCCCGCCGCACCCCACTCACATAGCCCCGCGGCCCGGGCGGCGCCGGGCCCCGCTCTCGGGTCCCGCTGCAGCAGCCGCCGGCCGCCGGGAGCTAAGGTCTCCCTGCCCCGCCCCGCAGCCACGGGGTCGGAGGTCACCGGCAGCACCAACGAGACGCTGCGGGCGGGCGGACCCGTTAGGGGCGACCGGCGCGTATCCTAGAAGGTCCCTTTGGAGGACTTTGCAGTCGGGAGCAGGGAGCACTTGCACACGCCAGAGGGCGCTACTGGCCAGCAGCTGAGCGCTCCTGGCGAGGGGGCGGAGCCTGGGGCGGGAGCAGGGGCGGGACTGAGGGGACCAGAAGTGGGACTAGAGATTTCCACTCCCGGAGCCGAAAGGGACAGGGAATGGAGAGAGAAACACAAGAGATGAGGGAAGGGTCTAAAGGGGTGGAAGAGAAAAGGGCGGTACGAGAGGCTAAGGAAAGGGAAGAGGCAGAGGGCCTCCTGGGGTGAACGGGGAGGGAACATGGAGGGGTGGGACACAGAGAGGGGCGGGACTAGAAGACCAGAGGGAGGGGTTGTGGGGGGACCTGCGTGCTTGGAAAGGCATTCTGTTCCGCGAGTGTCAGAGGACTGGTCAGAGGACCTGTTATAACCGAGGCTCCTGGGTGTCCGCTCGGCCCCCGAAAGGGCGCCATTCCAACACTGAGCCCAGAGCAGTGCGGGACAGTGGAGCCTGCGCACTTTCCACCCTGGGATCCCACAAAGGCTTTCCTGAGTCTGCAGCCCGGGCCCCTCCCGGGGCCGTCCAGCTCTACCAGCCCTTGGAGGGCGTGGAAGAGGAAGGGCCGCGCTCCCGGGGCGGGCGGAGGCGGGCGCTGGGCCTCGGGGTGGGGACTGAGTGAGGGGCACCACGGCGCAGTCTGTCCAGAACGTCCCAGACACCAGCGCGCGGCGACGGTGAAAACCCAGCGAAGTCCCGTCCGCTTCTCTGAACTTCCAGCAGCTAGAGTGGGAACCCCAGCCGGCTCAACACTACACTACGCCCGGCCTCCAAGGGGGCCCCCCCACCCCCCGCGAAGTCCAAGAAAAAAAATTGGGGAAGCTACCCAGAGGGTACTTGGCTGGAACGGACACCTCTCCACTGCTCTGTCTCACTGTCGGGGAAAACTTCCCAGCTCAGGCTTTGCCCTTTAGGGCAGGGGTGGGTCGGGAAGGTTGAACTCCGTGAGCCTGGTTGCACCCGCGCGCAGGCAAGAGAGGGGTTCAGCCTTGCTCCTTGTCTCAGGGGACCGGGGGGGGGGGGGGCGAGAATTCTGGAAGGAATCAGCATGTTAGAAAGGCGGGATCCAGGGCTAAGCAAAGGTGGAGTCAGGCCGCCTTTGTGGACGATGAAAGGGTGAGGGGCAAGGTTTTTGAGCATTGTTTCTGTGTGGGACAATTTCAGGCAAACTAGAACTAACCTGGAAGAGAGGGTACAAGTCCCCTCCTGGGGCCCCAGGTGTTCCCCCTCTTCCTGTGTGACCTCTTCCCACATGCACCTCTTGCTGCCTGGAGCAGGGGTGTTGCTGTTCCAGGAAGTGGCTACTTCTGGCCCTGAGTGTGAATGGCCCATCCTGGCTGCCTTCCACAGGAAACCTGACCTGACGGACAGAGCAGGAAGGAAACAGGTGGGTGTGGGGCCAGGAAGCAGGCAAGGGTGGCACAGGACATCTGAAGGGGGTGCTGAGTGGGGCTGTGGGTTGAGAAGCAGTGTAACTGTTAGAGTCCAAACCTTGTTCCCACCCCCAAATCCGGGTCTTGTAGAGGCCAAGGATTTGTGATGCCCTCCTGTGCCCTGCTGCCAGTCAGAATCCATCCCAGCTCTCAGGGACAACCTTTTCCTAAAGCTCCCCTTAGCCCTCCAATGTGACCCTGGGCAAGGTAATTAACCTCAATTTGTTTCAACCAGAAAATGGGATAACAGAAACTACCTCATGGGATTGTTGTGAGGATGGATTATATCATGTAAAATTCTGGAATTGCCTGGCACAGAGTAATCAGAAAAGTTTTCTCCAGTTATTTTTCTTCTTAGGATGCTGTGTCTACCTGCCCAGACCTCTAGCCCCATTCTGCCTGGTTTCATCTCTGTCTTACCTACTAGACTAGGAGCTCCTTATGGGCAGGGCTCATTCCTTTTCTACTTCAGTAGTCACCCCTATCCCCAAGACACTGGTCATACCAGGGCTTGCCCAGAGGAGGGATGAAGATACACTTAGAATTGTCCACTGAAGTCGCTGCTGTAGATAGAAGATGGAAACACAAGATTTTCCTCTGTCCTGGCGGAGCTTATGGACCAGATGAGCTGAGGGAGACACAAGAAGCAAAGAGAAAACTATGTGCTAAACCTTGGGACACTAATTGCACTTACTCCTGGAGCTCAGGGAAAGGAGAACAGTTATGGACCAGAGAGGTTGAGAAGGGCTTCTGGTGAAGTGGTCCTTTCACTGGGCTCAAGCCTACAGCTGGAAATCTGGGGCCTGTGGAGGGGGCGGGGAGGAAGCAGACTCACTGGCCTCATAAACACACAATGAGGAATGGTGAGCGTGAAGGCTAGGGAGGTGGGGAAGAAGGGACCAGTATACCCAAAGGCTCATGGGAAAGGCAAAATGCCCTCTTCCTTCTTCCATTCCAATCTTGGGAGACCCCAGAGCTTGAGTTTCAGAAACTCTGGAGCCAAAAGGCCTGGCCTCAACATCTGGCTCTGCCACTTACTAGTGGTATGACCTTTAGCATACCATATATGCTCACCCAGCCTCAGTTTGGCTATCTATAAAATGGAGACAAAAAATGCCACCTAACTCACTTGGTTATTGAATGAGATAATGTCTGTAGAGCACTTAGTGCTGCTTAGTAGCACATTGTAAGGACCAAATAAATGGGAGATGTTCTTGTTATTTTCTGGGCAGACTGTGCCACCAATGTCAGTGCTGAACTCTGGTTGGTCCCACCGAGGGGAGAACCTCCCCGCTCAGGAGCCAAGTCTGCCAGCGAACCTAGACGGTGACCCAGGCCGCCTGCCGGAGGGGGACCCTGAGGAGGCCTCTGCTCAGGTAGTAGGAGCCCTACCTTTTCTTCTGAGCTCAACATGCCTCCCGCTTTGGGCCACCTCCCATTTGCACCAGCTGGGAGGAGTGAGCCTTCATGCCCAGCCTCTTGTGGCCCTTATCTCCTCACAGGAGTCCATTTCTACAGCCCCCTCAGGATGTGAGGGTTTGACTTTAAATGTGTTCACATAAATACACGTGACCTCTCCTGGGGGTCTGTGTTGCCTCAGCAGACCTGAGGGGCTCAGCGCTGAGTGCAGGGGGTGATTTCGAGGGTAAGAGGCAAAGCTGTTTTGGGCTGTGAGGCCTCCCCAACATCCACCAATTAGACCACAAATGCAGGGGTGGATCAGCTGTCCTGGTGGTGATCTTGAAGTTGATTGTCTAATGGGGGGCGGTGCTTAGATGTTCCAGATTGGAGAGGAGGTGGCAATGAGAAGGAAAGGAAAGAGGGGGAAAGAAGGAGAACCTAGCTCCACTCCCCATCCCCTGCCGTGTCTCCTCAGCATCCTGCCCGTCTGTGCCAGGGGCTCCCTGACCTGGACACCAACCCAGCTGCCAACTGGCCTGGGCTCCCGACGCTCCTGCAGCAGCTCCCTCGACAGGACAGCGATGTGGGTCTCCCTCTTCCCAGTCGCCCTCTCTTTACGTACTGTTGAAGAACTTTGGTCCAGAAGTCAGGGAACACGGATTTAAGGCCTAGCTGTGCCACCAATTGCGGGAAGTCAGTCCCATTCCCCCACCCCAGCCTGAATTTTCACATCTACATAATGGGTACACTTATCTGCACGGTGGCTGTGCCGCCTGCCACAGCGCTTGACTGAAGAGCAAATGAGAAAATGGACATGAACGATTTTTGAAACAAATAATGGAATGTACAAATGTAGGGAGTATGGTCAAGTATTTATTGAGGCCCTATATGTTCCTAGTCTAAATAAAGGCTTATAATTCAGCTGGGAAGACAAGGCAGGAAAATATGGAATAAATAGGGAAAACACCATGGGAAGTGATATTGAACTACAGCTCATTGGGAGAAGGACCCAAATACATGGTGACAGGGCTAAATGCAATGTGGATGGTGTCAGGAATGATGACCCTTCCTAGGTGGGATAGGGGGAGTAGGACTGAGGAGGATTTACTGGCACTGTTGTCCTCTTTCCCTTTCCATCTCCATACCCTTCTATGCTGTGATTGCCTGCACCTCCCTGGGGTTCTACAACCTTCCTTTGACTCAGCCCCTAAGCCTCCTCTCCACTCAAACTTCAATCTTGCCTGCTGGGACTCTCCCTGGTTCTCCCTGTTTCTGCAGGAACAATACTGCCTGGCCCTTGGTGAGGAGGAGCTGGCTGAGCTGCGGCTCTTCTGTGCCCAGCGGAGGCGGGAGGCCCTGGGACAGGGGGTGGCGCATCTGGTACCTCCCAAGCTCAAAGAATGCACCTGTGAGAAGGTATGTAGTACCCCCGCCCCAATACTCCCCTTCCTCCACTCTTTCTTTGCCCTCTGGGTACTGCAGTAGGAGCTAGATTCTGAGACTCTAGTTGGCAAAAGGGGGTTTGGGGATTGATCGTTTGGCAAACCTTAAGAAAAAAGGAAACCAAGTTTGGGGGTTCCTGATGAGCCTGCAGGGGAGGTGGGTTGGGACACAAGAGCCAAGGGGGAAGCTAGGAGGGTGGGCGCAGCCTCTGACCAGCCAGCGCCCCCGCTTGGCAGTGCAGGGAGACGCTGAGGCCGGGGGAATATGGAGTGTTTGCAGCCCTGGCAGGAGAGCGGCACTGCTGGCACCGGGCTTGTTTTGCCTGCCAGGCCTGTGGCCAGGCCCTGATAAACTTCATCTACTTCTACCACGATGGGCATCTCTACTGCGGCCGTCATCACGCTGAGCTGCTGAGGCCACGCTGCCCTGCTTGTGACCAGGTACAGCTTTGAGTGAGTGGAGGGTCTGTTCGGGGTCCAACTCGGCAGAACGTAAGGGAACACCTCTCCCGGTATCAGGGAGTGCAGTAGAGACAACAAGGCACTAGCCTGGGACATTTGGTTCCTGTTGCTCTGGCTTGAGTTCTGAGCGAGTGGGACCTTTGCCGCCCCCCCCCCTCCCACCGCAAGTAGACTCCCCCATATTGTCTGGGACCGAGAGAATTTCTCTGGAGCAGGCACTCTTGGACAGACATTCCCATCAGTATACTGGGTGTCCAGTGCTGTGCCTGGTCATGAGAGGAACTGCCTTAATATCAGCAGCGAGGAACCCTGTGTTGGGAGTCCAGGCGACCGGGTCGCACTTTAGGTCGTGCCGCGAGCTAGCTAGGGGAATCCTGGCTAAGCCAATCAGCCCTCCCTGCGGCAGAGAGTGGTTGAGTTGATCAAATGGGAATGTCCATAGCCGTGCTTTAGCGCTAACTAGCTATAAGGCGTGGTTATTGGATGAATGAATGAGTGAGTAAATGAATGAGCCATTCCCCTCTCCCTCTCCCAGCTGATCTTCTCCCGGCGCTGCACTGAGGCAGAGGGACAGCGCTGGCACGAGAACCACTTCTGCTGCCAAGACTGCGCTGGGCCCTTGGGCGGAGGACGTTATGCCCTGCAGGGGGGCGGCCCGTGCTGCCCCAGCTGCTTTAGGAGTCGGTATTCGGATGTCGGCTCCAGCCCGGCCGCGACACTAGAAGGAAGGCCGTCCCTTGGTAAGGGAGGAAAGGTGCAGATCAAAGGGAAGAGGACAGCGTCTTGGGCTGGGCAGAGGAGAGAGTTCTCCCAGGCTGGAACCCTCGCCCCCGTCCCACGCCGTCCCGTCCCTCCAGCAGCGCCCCCCCCCCTCCGTCCGCCAACCGCATGCCCCAGACCCGAGCCTCGGGGCCCTCAGCTCTCACCGCGCATCCCTCGCCGGAGCGCTTCAAGGGCCTCCGGAGCCCACCCTGCGCCGCGGTAGAGGCTGCGGCGCGGGACTAGCTCCTGGACTGGGGACGCGGCTGCCCCCTGGTGGGCGGAGGCGGGGAGGGGCGGAGAGCCCTGGAGAGGACTCGCGGCGGCGGTGGCGGCGGCGGTGCGTACAGCTCAGGGGCGGGGCGGGAGGCTGGGCCTAGCTACCTAGGGCCGCCCCGCCCGGGTCTGGGCGTATATTCGGGGCTCTGAGATAGGCGTGTCTGACCCCGCCAGGAGCAGGGGAGGCGGGGCTCGGCAGAATAGAAGGAGGGAACAATGACCCACTACACTTCGCGACCACCATCTCCGGAGCAGCCCTCAATGCTGTCGCCAGCTCCAGTCCGGAAATTCAGAGGGTGCTGCTTGGAACCACCCCGGAGCAGGAGTGCCGAGCAGGGGACAAGGCTGAGGCACCCAAAGGGGGAGGGCAGGGCCCCCTGGAGACGCCCGCTGATCCCAAGGAGGACGCCCCCTGCCCCACCTGTTCCTCTTCCTCTGACTCAGAACCCGAAGGCTTTTTCTTTGGCCAGCGCCTTCCCCTGCCCTGCAAGACCCCCAGAAACCTGCAAGCTGAGGGCAGTGACACCTCCAGGAAGCACTGCACCATTTGCTAGTTGCGCGGCCCGGAGAAGGGGGAGTCAGGGGAGGGATGATCTGTAAGGCTTTAGACGCAGACTCTTCTCCCCCGATAAAAATCCTAGACTGAGTGCAAATAGGGACACGCCTAGTAAAGGGGGCGAGATGACAAACTTCAGTACTCCCTCTTCAGCCCGCGCATTCTGTGACTTTTCACGGAGACTTTCCTTGGGGAACCCCATTCTCCAAAGTTACGCAGCCCCTGCCGAGCTAGCTCGTACTCCGACAAGACTGGCTAGGACGGCTCGATCCCCAGCATCATCCTCCGGAGCCAATGAAATGATCACTCAGAAACCACGTGTGATGTGAGCGGCTCGACGAGCCGAAGGCCTGCAGAGTGCAAACCGGACTACGGACGGTAGAACCCGGCATCGCCCCTCCTCTTGCAGAGTTCGTGGGCGCTCGGCCCTGGAGTGATAACTGTTACGCGAACGACCCACCCCGCTCTAGCTACGGCGCCCTCTGTTGCCAGTAGCAGGCCAAAGGGCTAGGCCGGAAATTGCGTCATCTGCTTGCGCCGACACGATTGCGTCAGAGGCCTTGCGGAGCGCTCAGGGGATGCTATGGCTTCCAGTGGGGTCAGTGTGAACGCTGGCAGCTCGGCAAATGAAGTTTCCGAAATCCCAGACAACGTGGGGGATTGGCTTCGGGGCGTCTACCGCTTCGCCACCGATAGGAATGACTTCCGGAGGTAAGCGAGTCCCGGGAGCCTGGTCCCTCCCTACCCCTCAGCGCCCGTTTACGTAACTTGCCGCATTTTCCTTCGCCCAGGCGGGCGCTTGCGGGTTTTTAAAACTGCCAACTTCTAGGCCTCTTAGTGGTTTTGGCCGTGGCTTACTGAGGTCCTTGACCGGGAGAGTTCCCGTGCGGCAGAACTCAGTTACCTGGCTTAGGTCTAGAGAATTTCACCCTGACGGGAGGGGAACTGGAAGAGGCGCCAACACATAAACAGGCATTTCAGCTTTGGACGAGTGCTAAATTGGCCTTTGCATTTGACCCACCTCTTGCCTTAGGTTTTTCCAGGGGGGTGGTGGGAAGCCTTTTTTCTCTAAGCGACTGAATGACCACAAGGTTAATAGAATACATTCTTTTTCTAGGAACTTGATCCTAAACTTGGGACTTTTTGCTGCGGGAGTTTGGCTGGCTAGGAACTTGAGTGACATTGACCTAATGGCACCTCAGCCAGGGGTGTAGCCAAATAGGTAAGCACTTGACCACTGTTCGGTGTGCCACAAGGGTCCTAAAGGCTAGGAGGAGAAATAACTTCATCAGCTATTCACAAAATATAGGAGAGACTTGCTGTAAAGCCTTGGGTAATATCTTCTTAGTTAAACGTGTTCCCATATGTTAGAAGGGAATTCAGTCTACCAATTTCCCTCCAGTGCTTTTAGATTTCTAATGCCACCTGTTGTCCTGTCATCTGATTGCAGACACATGGAACCCATGCTGTACTTGAACCTTCCAAGCACAGAGCCTCCAGCCTGTGACCATCACAAGACTTGGCCCGATGGCAGCTGAAGTGTGATTCAGAGGGGTACCTTCCCTGCATGATTTTTTTCTTTGCTGAGTCTACTCAGAACTCCATTGTCTAGGCTGCAGTCATGCTTCAGCTCAAGTGTTGTCCTCTGTTTTATAAAGTTCTGCGCATAGTTCCTAAGTTTCCACAGGGGGTGATTTTTGCTTGTCTTGAGGAATAACCTGATGGCATTTTAACAGTTATTCGAAATAAAGACTACACACAAAGCCATTTTTTATTCTTTTAATAAGAAACTTCAGTTTACAAAAACAAGGTGTAAAAAGTTGATTTACAAAAATCATAAAAACATGATTTATATTTCACACTCAAAAGAGAGGAACAAGCCCCAAACATGGATTGTGACAGAGGTGGTTTGCTTCATATTAAATGGGAAAAAAAGCAATGGAAACTGTAGCCACCGTACATCGATGTTGACATAGGGTGGAGCTTATTCAGGAATGTCCATTTTTGAGCTTATTAGGGGAAGAAGCCATTTGGTGTTGCATAGCATGTGAGTGCGCCAGGTGGGTTTTCCAGGCACCAGGGAGGCATTGTTGCTGTAACAGAATGGCAGAAAGAGGACAGTGATGAGCAGGTGGGGGGCAAAGTGTTAAGTGAGCCTGGGTGATGGGCACAAAAATGAGCAACTGTCTGCCTGAGAAAACAGCTTCCTTCACAAGGAAATATTTTCTGACCCTGAAATTCATGGTAGTGCCACTGTCCCGGAGTTGGGGATTCTTTGGGAATGGAATATGTAGTGAACTGGCCTGGAAACACTCATGTAAGAGAGATGTGGAAATAGGTTGCCTTTGGCAACTCTTTTCATAGTTAATTTATTCTAGTAGGCATTTTAAAAAATACTGCATTTTTGTGCCAAGTCTCTTATGGAACTGGTATGGGTTTAAGGGACATGAATTGGAAAGGAGGGTCAGTATAAACATGCCATAGTGGCCTAATTGTCATAGTTGACAGATGTTGTCTCTAGCAGTCTGTTCTCTAAAGATAAATAGAACAAAATAGTCCCTCTTGACTCTGCTGGCATAAGCCTCATTAAGAAAGCTGTTTGAGAGCTAGATTTTAAATATATTTTCTTTTAAAAAGCACCATTCTCAAACCAAGGGGTCACCAGTTCAATTCAAAGTCAGGGCACATGCCTGGGTTGCAGGCCAGGTCCCCGGTAGGGGGCGCATTTGAGGCAACCACACATTGATGTTTCTCTCCCTCTTTCTCCTTCCCTTCTCCTCTCTCAAAAAAACAAAACAAAACAAAAAAACACCATTCTCTTGTATTAATCAGGTAGGTCCCCATCTGTTAGGAGGAAGTTTGAGCCAGTGAATTTGGGGCTGTGGCTGAAACCAAGACCCTTTAAGAGTCTACAGTAGGACCACAGATGATTTGACAGATTTATGTCTTACTGAGTGTTAAGATTGGGAAGGGTCACATATTTGAGAGCAAGGCTTAGGTTTGAAGCCATCGACCCTCAAATGGTGACCAGGAAGGAAACTTTCAAGCCACAGCATGGACCTGTGCCCCTTCCCACCTGCATCAGACACTGTAAGACAAACATGAGCACCTCCTGTTCTTTATAACAAAGAAACTTACATCCTTGAAATCTGCAACCAGATCTAATTGTGAGCAGTCCTATTTCATAAAAACTTTCAAAGTTAAAAACCAAAACCCAGCAACAATTAAGACATGGTAGCTTTCAAAATCATAATTGAAATTTCATTCAAAATTTAATGTTTTATATTACGTCAACTTTAAAAATTTAAAAATTTTAAAAAATGTTTTAGCTTCAAGTAATGTGTTCACTGTTGGTTTGTAAAGCCGTATGCTGGTAAGGTCAAGTTTCATTTAAATTGGCTTAATTCCTCCAAGTGGAAAGACTAGCAAATAAAGCTACCAAATCTACAATTTAAAAAATGATGAATAATCATTCTATAAATCAAAGTGCTGGCTTTCACCATCCAACACATAACATTCTCCCCAAGGGAACTCATTTTTACATACTGTCAGTTTTCAGTCCTGGCTAATTAACATAGTACTATGAAAATCTCTTACCCTACTTAGATTTTAAATGAAAACATGCCAACAGAATAAGTATGGAAAGAGTCCACAAAAATGACCGTTCACCTCAATGCTATAGTAGGTATAGTGTATTTAGAGCAACGTATGGGATGAATGAGTACACAGTGTTTAAAGTCAAAGCCGTAGACCAAGAGAATGGGTAATTTAAATGTGGAAGATAGAACCTAAACTCACAGTCATATTTAGAAGGTGCTTTCAGCTGTAGTGGTAACTTAAAAGATTTGGAGCCACCAGGGAGATGCATACCCAGTAAAAAACTAAGTGGCCATGGAAGGTTTCACTCCAAAGAGAGAACCTCCTCACCTAACTAAACCAGTAATTAGGCTGAGGGACCCCGTTACTAAATTTGTTTTGAGTGGTGAGCTTCTCAAATACGCTTTGGTGAAATCTCATGAACTCAGTGGAAAAGTGAGGTTGGAGTAAAAGAACATACTGTAAACAGCCCTGCAGGCGAGCGGACTGGGTCTTAACCTTCCACAGGCACTCAGCACCATCCCAGTGGGCACCTGCAGGGTGGAAGGGCTGGGCGGGTTCTTTGAGCCTTCCCTTCTGCATGTTACACAGTGCGCTGGCTTGCTTTAACATCTAAGTTAAAGGCTCACAGATATGGGATTGTGTTCTACACTGCCTTCTGAAATTTTCTGCAAAAGAACTTCAGAACTAATGAAGGTAGCACTTCAGGGGGAACCATTTTTGTGTGACTTCTACCATAAGTTGCCCAGCATTAGAAAAATGAAAAAGCCTTTTTTTAATGTTTGTGCTCTCCCAACCAGCTGGGAAAGCAACCCTTCTGCTCCTAAGATACACCCCCAGATTGGGGTGTAGTATATGGTTAAGAAAGGTGGCTCTCCCAGCTTGATTTGAAAAGGCTCAATCGAGTTAACATTTTAAACATAAAAAGGGTGGTTAAAAAGAGTGGAGTACAAAGTCTGCCTTGAGAAGCAGATGTTTCATGAATAATCACAAATACAGATTTTGGACATTACAGAAAATTTCAGACCTTGTTGGTAAGAATAATTTGCTTTCACTCACGAGAAATGAAATGCTTTTTAAAAATCTGATACCAAATATCCTTTACACTATACAAACCAATTTGCCACTTGAAATGACAAGAAGGAATCCTAATCTGTTCAATTCCATGCAAACCATAATTGGGTACAAGGCACCAAATTTTATGAATTGTATAAAATTAGTTCACAAAGCTTTATCATTAAGTAAAACAAACTCGATCTTCCCTGCCTGCCCACCCACATCCCCCCCGCCCCCCCCAACACCCAACCAAGTTTTCATTTCTGCACTACTGTCGACCTCTTAGGCTTAGGCTGGCTAGGGCCATGTCCCACTGCCAGCCAACCCACTCCCTTGTTCTTGCACTTGGATGGAACTGTAAGCATAGGAAGAGAAGGGAACTCATACAATCATTGACCCTAGAAGCCTTACCATTAAAAACAAAAATAAACTCTGCTATTGAGTCCATAGGACACATTAACACTTCTATAGTTTCCAATTTTATTCATGACATTTAAAGAGACGTCTGGAAATTCTTTACAGTGTGGCACCACCCCCCTCAGCCTGAGAGGGGCTGGATCAAAGCTGGCAAGAGCTCTGTCCACTATTTAATAAGAGCTTCAGTTTCTGGCTGTTGAGGACATTCCTAATCTCTTTTATGCTAGCATGGATGCTCATCTCCGAGGCAACCACAAGTACGAAGGTCAAGCTAGACTGAGGTAAAAATCCCTTTTGAGGGCCAGGGTGCATTCGTCTTGGCTGGCTACAGCAGAAAGTAAACACACCAGCCAACTGCTACGGGTTCCTGGAACGGGATGCTAACTACTGGTCCGGGAGAGAAGTGGGTCTGGAAGGTTCAGTGAGGAGATCTTGGGTTTGGTTTGGCAGCATCTAGTTAACTTCTACCTGGCTCTTATTTTCTTCTCTTTAGAACGTTTCAATTTAAAGTGTAAGATGCAGCTAAGAAATTCATCTACTGCCAATATGTAAATAAATTAAAGGCAAAGGGACATTTCCCTCACAACAGCCATTGACTTATGTAGCAGGGATTTCTTCTTTAATAAAAAATCTTCATAAATACTAACGTCTCAGCAGCACGTTCAGTGCTGCTGCCTCGGTACCTGAGGTGTCTGTGACTGCAGGGCCGCCTTCGGGAGCGCAGAGCTCAGTGAGGACTCTGGTGTTGGTTTCTACTCCAACTCATTTTAAACCATTTTATACAGGGGTATTTAGCTAAATTAAGTACTTACTTTACAAAGTTTTAATCTGCTTAATGTCCTTACAATATTTGGTATAAAACTATTTTTAAAAATTAAATTTGAAGGTCTTTTAATTTTCCATTAAATGTTCATTTTTCTTAAATATTTCCCCCTGGACAGCCTGAGGGATGAAGTAGATGCTCTATTAGTTCTCCATTTGCAGTTCTCCTTTTTTAGAATAATAAATATTGCATTCAATGAAAAATGAGGCACAACTTATATTTTGCTTTCCTTTTTACTCTCCTGGGGTTTTTTTTTTTTTAAATGTGCTTTTCTGTTGTCACAAAAAGTCATCATCAACCATGCTGACTTAAAAATGTGGATCTAGAGTGTGTAGTTTCACGTCAGAGCCCCTGGTAGCATGGGCGCTGTGACACTTTAAAACAGTGTCCAGGAGAGGGCGAGCCCAGGCCAAGCTTATACAAAGAAGCCTGCAGTAGACAATATAAACCAAATAGCATAAAAAATGCTATACGCTATCGCTTCCAAATAAAAGCTAAATATTACAGAAACCTCACAGTGTTGGAAAAAGCAAGTTTAAAATATAGTCACTCCCCCCTTCCTTATCAGGGTAAGCCATTTTCTGTCTGAATTTCCTCCATGTCTCAGTGCTGTCTGACTGATCCTACGGGAGAGTTTGTTACAAAAGAGGTCAAAAACAAATGCTACACATCTGCTCCAGAATGTGGCTCATCGACAGTGCTAAAGCTATGACCCTTATTCATTATGCTCTTTTCCCAATTTTCAACCCCTCCCCAAATTTACTTCCACATCTACTCCCTTCAAGTGGCAACTGTACTTCTACCTGAATTGAAATATGAATATGATATACTCAGTCAAAAGATGAGCATTCATATGACAGGCTGAGGCAGGCTGCCCCAACCGTACAATGAGAGTTACGGTTTGCATTCACTTGTACTGGTGAGTCAAAGTGAAGGACTGAGATGGGAAACTCAGTGGTGCCTGATAGGGAGCAAGGTTTCCACCTAGGCAATTTAATTTCACTTAGGAACTGACCCAGTTTAGAAAGAAAGATCTATTTTACTAGTGCTGGAGTACAAGACAGGGCACTCTTGCTTTCTCTGGTGGACTCAGTGTGGCTGGGTGAAGAAATGAGAGGGATTATCAGATTTGGGAGGAAACAGGTCAGAGCCATCAGCAGTAAACTGTTCAGACACAGGGGACATATTTCTTAAGCCCTAGGAAAGCAAAAGCTCCCAAACTTTGTGGTGAACAATAATGAACAATAATTTCTAACCTTCCAGGAGCAAGAAAGAAGCTCTGAGTTAAGAAAGCTGCATGATACACCAAGTAAGAACCGGTGACAGGCATTCAGATAAGCCCTGGGCCACCAGCTATTCCCGCCCACCCTCAAATGAGTTCTGAGAAAGAAAGCCTCAGACAACTGACCTAAAGACCAGTTTAAACCAAACCTTAGACCCTGAACTGACCTGACCCAGGATTTGCCACAGAATTGGGTAGCCAGAGTGCCCTTCGGCTCAGCATGCAACAAAGAACATGCTGTGTGCCAGTTTACTGATCCCCATGTGACCTGCTCCTTTAGAATGAAGGGATGGTCAGGTCCGTCTCAGCAGATGTGGAATGATTAAATGAGCAGCATCCAGGGAGGGTATGAGACGTGAAAAACCTCCCACTTGGCATGGGGAAGTTTGCTTCATGCATCTCATTCCAATCTTTAACTGCTACCCCCCAAAACGTCAGTCTGCAAGTTTTCAACCCTTGAAGGTTACTTCCTTTGTAGGAACAAGTCCTTATACTTCACCTGCTGCCTTGGAACCAATTCCATCCAGCAAGCTGCCAGCCCAGGGCCCTCCTCACGTGCTTCATCCAGGGCTACTCACATCAGGAGGATTCTTCTGGTGCCGCACGGAGGTCCTGATTAGCACTAGAGTCATATACTAGAGAGAAAACATGGCTTCTCTCCTGGTTGGATATGATCAATTTCCTCCCTTTTTGCTCTACCCAGCTCCCTCTATATTCAGAAATAATTGAGGAAAGAATCTTCATTCAAGTTACTCCTTTTTGATTTGTTTTATCAAAGGAGGGAATTTCCAAATCCATTCAAAAGAAAGCGACTACAGATTTTATGATAGCACATGAGTCACCTGGCACCTTCAGTTCTAGACCTAGGGAGGCAAACCTAAAAACCTGTTCTTGCAGTAAACCTTACTTCCTATAAGAGGAAAGATGTGTGGACACCAATTGTTTAAAAGCAAGCCAGTCTTTGATGTGTGCCTCCCATTCAGGGGAAGGTCCGTGGTCTGCCCTCATTGTTGTTGCTGGGCTGCACCTGAGCTTGGAGTTGGGTTTCTGAGATCCTTGCATTGCCCTGAACTGTTCTTTGAGTGTAAAAAAGGATGTAGGCTTGAGTTTTGCACACTTCATCGACACTGCATACATTCAGCTTTGAGTCATTGCAGTGGACCCAAAAACCTAGGAAACCAAAGGAAAGAAAGGGTAAATGACCATCCAACTTGTATTTCCAACCAGCAGGCAAAACCAGGAGATGAAGAAAGGGACAGAGGAGTGTGAACAGAGCAACCCTCAATTATTGGGTCGGGGGGAAGAGACAAGTGAGTGAAACCGAGAGACTTCCCTGTACACTGGCTTTCACCCCAGCAAACCCCATCACAACACTGCTCACAATATTAACTGACCATGCTTTTTATCCTAATTGCATTCGGGCCTTTTCATCCCCCACTGACCTTCTACAAAGACAGCCATAAGACCTCAGGCGAAGAAAGGAGAAGAGGAGGAGGATGGGAAATGTAAACAGAGAGGAGTAATAAAGGAAAATTTAGAAAGCAATAAAGTTATTTGTTCACAGGCTCACTCTGGCTGCCCAAGGGCTAAGGGGTTCAAGATCAGTACTCTACTGAAAAGACCTTTGCAACCCACTAGTTGGGTGGCTCTGCCTTGAGAAAAAGGCCTAAAAGCTTCTTGAGAGGGGTCCTTGTATCCCCACACCTTCCATTGTAAGGGATATAGTACGGATATAGTTAATGCTCAGTAAATGTCCTCAACTTTATTAAGAGCTGAGGCTAGTGAGATTCATACAGTATCTCCAAGAGGTTAGATGGGTCATATCATTTCTGCATAACCAAGAAGGAAACAGAGGTCTGCAGCAGTATCAATAATAATGATAACCTCAAACATCAGTTGAGCATAATGTGCTAGGCACATGCTAACCACTTTTACATGTGTCAGTTCTTGTTATTTTTTAGAACAATCTTATGTTGTTACTTAGTAATATATCAGAAATATCCATTAAAATTCCATAATTCTTCCAATGGGATTTAAGTGTATGTAACATCCTCCTATAGATGAAATAAAAAGGAAAGAAATGAAATGTGGACAAACCAACCCTTTTCCGTGTCCCCCACCCTACAGAGTAAAGCGCACGCACCTCCCTCTGTGTTGTAGCAATAGGCTGTGTAGTGTCCTGAGCCAAACCCTTTCCCGTGATGCATGACCACTGCGGAGAGATCATAGGCAAAGGTCTCTTTGTCAAGAGAGGAGAGCATGTCCCTGCAGCAGTAAGGTTCCATGGTTAATACCTGGTCAAAGACGACATGGACCCCAATCTTCTCTCGATGATTACGGCCAGACCACCTAGAACATGGATATAAACTTCTTACTAGTAAGAAATGGCATAAGTGATCAGAGGTATGAGAGAGGACCCCCCTCCCCAAACCAGAATTATCTTCTGGAGGGCAGGCCCCTTATAGTACAGGCTTCTCCCACTAGGTCAGTGTTCTAGGAACCCCTCTGTATCAGTGTACCAGCTAGCGTTGTTGTGAGAGGCTGCAGTTGGCCTCAGTGAATTTTTTGAAGACTCTTTTAATGCGTCTGCCCATTTCTTGATGGGTGATTTATGAGTGCACCTGCCCACACTGCACTCAGTGTTCAGCAGTTTTGACCAACAACAGCATGACCCCCGTGCCCCACCCTCCCTATTCACCCAATCTTGCCCTGAGCGATATTTTTTGTTTCTCAGGATGCAAAAAGTCCTCAAAGGGAAACATTTCCTTGATGTAGAAAAGTTGAAATGAAAAACGGCAGAAGCACTAAAAGGCATCAAAATCAACGAGTTCAAAACTCTTTTGAGCAGTGGAAAAATGTCTTACAGGTGTATTGCATCAAATGGAGAGTACTTCGAAGGTGTCTAAAGTTTAAACATGTAAGAATACAGTTTTTATAAATTCTGGGTTGATTTTTTTTTTGAGTACCCCTCGTATAGGTAAAACTGGGAACTAAGAAAACCTTCAGGTCTTGGTTTTCACACCATTAAAACAGTAATAGTCAATGTGCACATATATTTCTAGTGAATGTTCCATGATGTAACCTGAAACTACAGACCCCTAAACAACCAATTCAGGCAAAAATCTTCTGTAGCTTACTGCCTGCCCTTCTTTTCGCAGATTATCTCATGCTTGATTCTAAAGATGACTCTCCATAAGCACAAGCGAGGCTAGAAAATCTTCAAGCACAGACACCTGGTGCAGGCTGGCCAGTTAAATGGGGCCATGAGAACAGAAGCCCAGACCTGCTGGGCCCCAACATCAACTTGCCTCCCTGCACGTGATGCATTTAAATCTCCAGGGAAAGCACAAGGTCCCCAAGGAACCAGCATCCCCTCCCAACAGCATAGACTTGTGTCCTCACCATTTGCTTTTGAAGCAGTTGTTCCTACAGTTTACAGCCACCTGGGGTGCCCAAGAACAAGCTCACCTGAATCTTTTAAGGTGCAGCCGGAGGACCTGAGGTAGTCTGTAGATCATTAACTGCTTTCTAGCTTCACTCAGAACAAGGGGTTTGGGATTGGATCTTCGTCGTTTGCCTATATGGTTTGGGAAGGTACAAGACATAGATGGTGAGGAGTCTCGTTTTTCCTAGCTGTGGCAGAGACAATGACTTGGCATTCAGTATGCACTTTCCTTATTTCTAATGTTTGAACCTCAGTTTTCTCTGGGAAGCTATATGACCCTCTCTGACTACATTTCCCAGCCTCACATCTACATGCTGCAGCCATGGGAGTTCTGGCAGAGATGAACCAAATGACTGTGTGGTATTCTTGGCAGCTTCAAGATGGCTGACTCAGTTGAAAGATGCATCCTTTGTCCTTCCTGCTGGTTGCAACCATTGGAATTCCTCTGGGACCATGAGGTAATCTTGAGGATGGAAGCCCTGAACTAAGGCAGCAAAGCTGAAAGATGGAAGGAGCTTGGGTACTCAGTAACCATGCAAACCCCTGAATGTCCTTTGGACTTTTTACATAGCAGAAGAAAAAAATATGTCTCATTTTAAGTCATCGTTATTTGAGCTGACTTAACAGCAGCTAAACCTAATCCTGATACATCCACTTCCAAATGTTTGCCATCAGCGATTTCCAAAATTGGTGTGGGTTTAGGATGACACACTCCTGATGTCATGGGCTTGTTAATGGAATATAATGCAAGGTCACCACAATAACATGCACATAGAGGCATATATTAGGGTTCTAGGCTCTTAAATATGGGCTTATAACTTAAATTATGATGTATCATAATATATCTTGAAGAGCTTTTGGTTTTCATTGGAAAGGCCTACTTCTATTTCCTGCTCACAGCTAGTTGTATGCGCTTTTGGACAGGTTACTCAAAACTCTGAATCTCAGTTTGCTTTCCTGTGAAATGGGGAATAATGCATGTATTATTAGGAAAAAGGTGAAAAATACAGTATTAGCAAGGGACAAAGTATTTAAACAGATTTCCCCCCAGCATGATATGCTTGTAGCATATACAAATATTTAGAAAAGAACCTTTTTTGGTTTTATATTTTTATGCTGTACTTAGTTTTTGAAATATGTTTCTTGGATAAAAGCACACTGCTGGACATGCAAGACAAGGCTGATAAGCTGGCCAGTGGAAATAAAGCTCTTTTAATTTCCCTTAGAAGCCTTCTCTATAACCATTTACTGATGACTGCTGTTATTAATTAAGCTGGTGAATGGATATGAATATAAAATTAGTTAGTGGTCCACTTGTGGTGCCTGCTAATACTTGTCTGTGAGCTGCCGATATCATGGTCTCAGTGTCTGAAGAGCTTGAGATGTGATCCCAAGTCCTGTCTGTACCACTTGTGAAAGGTACCAAATCACAGGCAGATGACGCATCATGGAGCTTTCTGTGATAATAGGATGTGGGGCTGTTGCTTCTCACAATAGACCGCAGCAGAATGAGCGTGCCATTGCATTTGCTAGGGCTGCCAGTCATGACATGTGGGGGCATGAACAGAAAGAGAATTCAAGGCAGGGCCTGGCCTTATTTTACATTCCTATTCACCAGCAGATTTTTAAAAATTATTGTAGCCCTTCCTGGGAATCTTGGCAGTGACCGCCACTGTCAGCAGAGGGAGTATGTGAGCTAAGATGAAGGCCACATACAATCTGGCTTTGTTTTCCGAAAATGAAATTCACAAAGAAAAAGAAATTACTGATTCAATTGAGAGTGATCAGTTCTGTCTCCATTTGATTAAGCTGGTCACAAAGAGAGGTGGAAGGCTCATAGTTTTGAAAACTCACAAGCAAAAAAATCAGTTCATCTCATCCCTTTACCATAGCCTTCCTTCCCTGCTATTATGTGAATTTGCCTAGAGAAATCCCAATAAACTGGCACATCTGGCACCCAGAAAAACAACCCTTTCTTGCAAAAATAAATAAAGGGATTTCTTGCCTAATCTATCATGTTCAAGAATGATGGAATTAAAGCTGTTTACATCCTTCTGCTGTTCCTTACAAGTAAAAAGTTTTATGAATCAATAAATATTTTTTAAAAACTGATACTGCTCTAATAAGATAATTTAAGTCACTGCCTTGATATCTCAAATAGATTAGGATACGTGAGTCTACAGTTAATCAAGTATAGCATTTCAAATTTTGTTTTAAAATAGCAAAATAATAAAGTATTATTACTTTTGACATTTGTCCCAATTCTTCAGAAAATAGGTTTCCCACAATTTACGATTAAAAAGTATGCAAAAATATTAAAAAGGACTACCATAAGATTTTTGTTCCTAAAACTTGTAAAACTATTATATGGTTGCAAGTTGATTTCTAGATCTCTGCACAATCCATTAATTTTAGTTTCCAAATCTTTATACGCCAAAAAACTCAAACATGAGTTTCCAAACATTTGCTCTGCATTCCTGCTGTACACACTGAGTTAACAAAAGTACTGAGCGTTACTGTGACAAGACAGAAGGGGCCCTGTATAAGATGCCCATGGAACCAAATGGAAAGAATTCCACTTTAAAATTAAAGCCACAATAGAAAAATACTTCCTTCTGACCCCTCCAAAATGCCAATCTTTCAAGCTCGTGAAGAAACAAATGCAGAATATACTTCCACAGAGCAATGCACCGTACGACTTGCTTTCTTGATCTTATTGTACAGACCTTCAGCATCTCTTCTGATACTTTAAATCTACAAGTTCAGTACAAAAGTACACTTTTTTGATGCCACAGCCCTCAAACAGGCTATGTCACCTGAATTTAGATGAAATAAGAACTGTCAGACTCTATATTCATGGATTTCAGGCAGCACCTATGTAGCACTATGAGGCTAAGTACCCACATTCTCAGAGTCCCCATTTCAGGACCCACACTTTCAAATGCCTCCCAAGGTAACAGCTAATGTCAATCACACCAGAAGTCAAAGGAGGCACTACTCCTAGGATTGGTTTTGTTTTTTGATAGGGTTCATATGCTTATTTTTAGTAAAATGGGAGGGAAAACATGCTTTAGAATCACTCAGTATTATCAGTGTTACTCTCGATTAAAAGGGGCAAAAGAGGCACCTTAAACTGATATTCCAGTTGCTCACACCCCCTCCCCCCAGCCCCAGCACTCACTGTTACACTGGTCACAAGCGTAGATTCTCCCTTCTAGGGCCTCTGTCTCTGTGAACTTGGCCAGCATCTCAGTGAGCAGGCACTCTGTCTGATCCAAAGGGACAAACCCCTTTTCTATGCAGTGATAGCGTTCAGGGAATTCCAGGGACAGATCCCAAAAGGGCTCAATGGTGTTGGATTTGTAATTGCATGATATACATGTGACCTAGAATTAAAAGATTGATTTATAGGTTATAACTCCATGCTTCCCACATACGTTTTTGCTTGATTTATACAAGACACGTAACTTGACCAAAACTAAGTATACTGCTTTTTAAAATATTTTATTTCTTAGGGAAAGGGGAAGGGAGAGAGAAAGAGAGGGAGAAAAACAGCAATGTGTGAGAGAAACATTAATTGGTTGCCTCTCACTCACCCCCAACCGTGGCCTGCAACCCAGGCACATGCCCTGACTGGGAATTGAACCAGCAACCTTTTGGTTCACTGGCCAGAGCTCAACCAGCTGAACCACATAAGCCAGGGTGTGTACAATTTTCAAAAAATATTTTAATTATAATATTAAACATAACTTTAAGAGAATTAGAGCATGTTACTTCTGATATATTTCTAACAATGTGATTCTAGCTGGACCTGGAAAACCATCCAGCACAGAGGTCATTATCTATACCTTTCTCTCTTCTCCTCATCCAAAGCATGCTCTACCAGACTCACTGCTATAGTACAGACTGCAGGTTATCCTGAAATCAGTCTGAGATGAAGAATTTGCAAATTCCTGTCTGTTTCTCTCATCCCCCACACTCCTCCCACTTCCAGTCTTTGCTCCCTCCATGCAGTCCTAACTTGCCTCTTTTTGCCCCTAGTTCTTGTAGCATTCTTACACTGATCCGGTGTCTACAGAGACTCAAAGAACCTTGTGATTAGGACTCCTCAGATGCACCTTTCTTCCTATGGACCCTCAGGGAGTATAGGGAATGCCGATAAATACCCCCCTTTCAAATGCTAACAGCCTAAATAAAGTTTCTCTCCCCATCCTACTCATCATTCTTTTAAAACCTTCAGTATCATGCACAAACCTCAGCAGCATAGAGGTTTTACCTGAATCTCTGAAGTTGCCTACCTTTTTAACTTTAAAAATTCTCTTTCTTCATTTTCTCACAAAGCCTTATCTGTGAGTCTTTGCTTCTGTCCCTACATGGCTAAAGATCTAGAAAACGAAAGATAATGGGGAACAGGAGGGAGGCTTGTTTAGGCCTTTGGCATCCTCCTAGCCATGTTCCTCCCTTCCTTGTATATGAAGAATGTCTAGTTAGGAAGAATGCATACTCTTTCAAGCTACTGTGGAACCAGAGTTACAGGCAAGCCATTCAATTTCCTAAAACTGATCAAAGGATAGCATGCCAACCATGGGTACTTAATTATAATGAGAATATTAGATTACCCATATTGTCCTTAAAGGTTAGCAACATTCACTGAAATGAAGCAATATGGCAAGTTCACCAGGAGGCCAAACTCTAACAAACAAGCCACCCTCCAACGTCATGGGCAGAGCTGGGGTTAGGGTGGACACACACCTACCTGACTGAGTAGCTGCCCGTGAAATATGGTGTTCACCACCTTTAAGACCTGTTTGGTGAGCTTCCTCTGGGAGAAGGGGATGAGGATCCGGTGTGCTGTGCCCTCGGACTCGAGTTCCTGCTGCACTTTGTGCAACAGCTCGCAGAGAAACTCCTGAGCATCCTGCTGGTCGTAGCCACGGAAGGCGGGGATCAGACTCCACACGGAGTGAAGCATGGCGAAGGGTGACACCAGGGCCCACTTCCCAGACCACATGACTCGGAATAGGGTGTGCAGTTCATGGCAAAGGGAGATGTGCTTTGAGCTGGGCTCCTTGTTCTGGATGAGTTCTAGACTCCTGGTGATGGAGGCCCCACCATTCCAACAGAGGCCGTCCTTCTCGCAATACTCAGCCCTGTCACTCCTTGGCGACAGCTCTGTGGTAGAGCTGCTGGCCAGCCTGCTTGAGAGGGACGCCTTCCCATTGGTGGCTCTGGAAAAGAGTTGTTCTGTTTTGGAAGGGTCGAGGTTCAGGAAACACTCTCGGAACTTTTGGAGGTGGCTGAGCACCTGCAGAATCGAGTTCATGTAGCAGGTGTTGCCCAGGTTGCGGAGGCCGGTGACGCCTGGAGCCACAGCTGGTGCACGTCGCGGGGGAAGGCGGCCCGTGGTGGGCGTCCTTGGGGTGGCGGGGCACGGGGCAGCGGTGCGGGGTGTGTGCAGCAGAAGGCGTGCGCTCTTGCGCGGAGGGGCGCTGGCCAGCTCCTCCAGCAGCCGTCGTTTGACCTCGAGCCGCCGCTGTCGTGCAGCCTCCTTCTTGCGCTCCAGAGCCTCCTCGCGCCGCTGCTGCTCCAGTTTTGCCTGACCACGGGAACTCTTCTCGAACCAGAGTCGCAGCGTCTTGGCTAGCAGGCGCTGGCGCCGGTACCACAGAGCCGTGAGCATCTGCGGCTGTCCCTGAGGAGTGAGCGGTGGAGGGGACGCATCCTCGCCAGAGGCCATGGACCGCAGTGACCGGCCTCGTCTGCCAGGCGGGTCCTTCTTCTGGCCCCTGACCGCCAGGAGAGAGCTCCTCAGCAGCTTCAGGTCCCCCTCCGGGTTATCATTGAGCACGTAGTCCTTGCACAGGTAACAGAATACATAGAGATCCCGGACCTCCATGGCAAGAGGGTGTCCCGTTTCTTCAAAGTGTTTAAGGGCGTGGTCCTCGATGTAGCGGCCACAGGCCACGTGCGAGCACTTGAGACAAGCCCACACCGACTCTGTGGTGGTGCACTCCCTACAGCACCACTTCTGAGGGTTCAGGATGGAGTGGTCCTGGGCCAGCCGCAACCGCCCTACATGTTTGCATCTATCCATGTCTTAAAAAAGGCTCCACTCTTTCAACCTGCCACAATAGGGCCCCCGAAAGAGAGAGAGAAAAACAAAGCTTTCAGCAAAGCATTTTCCTAGAAAAAGGCTTACAACTGACATTTTCAACACAATACTCATTCTCAATTCAAAATTGGTTCCTTTGGAAGTTAAAAAAAAGAAAACTTGGTGTGGCATGAGAATTACAGAAAGGCAAATTCCCTAAAAAGGAAGCATCATAAAATACTATATAGGGGGCCTCAGCACCAATTTGAAACTTTACATTTTCTAAGCCTATTTTAATCAGCTAATTTTCATATGAGGCTGATTTTGTGTTCCTTAGGATTACCCTTATTTCACATTGTACCTAAGTAGTCACCAGGAGAAAGAAACTTATATTCTAAACCATTTTTGCACTGATGATGTACTGGAAGGACAGCTTCTACATCCCATACTGATCAAGATATTGGCTGTATGAAGAACGGGACGGGAGACGGAAGAAGAGGAGAGACATAGACAGTGTTTCAAACATCAGTAGAAGAGATGAAGACCCTCAACTGAAAAGGCAATCTTAGGGAGGTCTCAATGTAGTTCAACGCAGAGACAACGGGATAAGGGAAAGGTAAGGAAGAAAAAGTTATCTACAGTACAAAGTATCACTTTTATTTTCCTGAGTCCAAAGAACCTGATGGAGGAAGCAGACTGTGAGCCTCAATCTAAGTTAACATTGTATACATCTGCTCTGGCCTGCTGCATGTGACTGTGTCCCCCCCTTCGTATGCTAAAATGGTATCCTCTGAGGAGATGGTATTAGGAGGTGGGGGCCTTTAGAACGTGATTAGATCATAAATGGGTTGACCTTCCTGGGAAGAGCTCTCATGAATGGGATTAGTACCCTTAGAAAAGAGCTCCTTCACCCCTTCTGCCAGGTGAGGACACAGTGAAAAGCTGTGTATGGCTATGGAACCAGGAAGTACTTACTGGACAGGGAATCTGGTGCCATGATCTTGGACTTCCCAGCCTCCAGAACTGTGAGAAATAAGTGTTTGTTGTTTGTAAGATACCCGGTGTATGGTATTTTTGGTATAGCAACCCTGAAGGAGTAAGACAATGTCTCTTTTTGAAAAGAACATGTACATCTTGTAGAAAGGTGGGAAAACTTTTACTTTCTTTACTAAAGGATAGGTAAATACAGAATATGATAGGTTTGACTCTTAGGACAAGAGGTGACATGGTTACTGGTATTACATTATGTAACTAAACTACCAAGACAAAAGAAAAGGAACAAATCTTCCACATGATATATGTGAAAATGCTTTTTAAAACAGTGGCAACAAACTGAAGTGTGTGTTTATTTTTTCTTTTTTTTTTTTTGGTCTTCCTACATTGTTTCTTCAGTAGTGTTCATCAGAGAAGCCTAATGGGCAAGTTCTCTAAAGAAAGATACTAACCAATTATTTTAAAAGTGAACTTTTTATTCTTTGGAACCTTGGCACATTCCCCACACCCCCAGTGCTGGCATTTAAAATTCCCTAAAGGTAGCTCCTCTTATAAAGAGAACTTGCTGCACCTCCATTTCGTCTCTACTTTCATTCCTGTGAAATGCAAATGTGGTCCCATGATCATGGGGTCACCCAGGGAAGTTCTAAGTCCAGTGCAGTGCGCTCTGAGTAGTCTCTTTAGTTTTCCAGATGCCACTTTGGGCTGGTCCTGTTGCCAAAACCCACAAATACACCACAAGACCAAATCAGAGATCCTTCCCATTTTTCATCGCCCATTCCAGATGGCAGAGGCACATCTCTATAAAAGAGACCCTTAAACCACACAAAGGAAAGCAACTTAGGTAATTTCCAGTCAAGTCAGATCATGCTTTTCTTTTGAGTACTGTCAGGATTTAGTTTCTACTATATTATTTTTATAATTATTAACTTGTTGCTAAGTGCCCTTTAAGTCATTTCTCTAGATGTATTTATCCATTTCCTAACAAGATATAATATCCTTCAGAGAGGAGACCATGTGTTATATTTCTTTTTTATACTCCTTTGTAATTTCAAGACTTGTGGGTGCTCGACTCTTAGTGGTCAAAGGTGCTCTGTGAGAATTACCTTCCCACACAGTCCAGAGTGGTACTTTCTGTAGAGCAGAACCAAATTAAAACACACATTAAACAGACAAAATAGCTCTGACTGGTATGGCTCAGCTGGTTCGATTCCCTGTCTGGGCACAGGCCTGGGTTGCGGGCCAGGTCCCTGATTGGGGGCGTATGAGAGGCAACTGATCCATGTTTCTCTCTCACATTGATGTTTCTCTCCCTCTCTTCCCCTAACTCTCTAAAAATAAATAAATAAGATCTTAAGAAAAATATGAAATAATAAATAAATGAATTTTCTTTTGTCTACTTATTACCAATGAGGTTGAGTATACAAGATGCTATGCTTTCAATCAATTACCAGGAACACAAAAGTCAGTCAGTAATGACAGAATGAAAGGGGGAAAATATCAAGCGGGGCAATTCCCAAGTTCCTCACTAATATTTTTCAAAATGTATTTCCTAAACCACCTACCAGCATCAGAATTCCCTCGGACACTTACATGTACAGATTTCTGGTCATGACTTCAAACCTTATGAACCAGAGCCTGGGAAGAGTTTAGAATCTCTCCATTTTAAACAGGTTCTATAGATGATTCATGTGCACATTAACACCTTAGAACCACTGCACGAAATCCAATAAATTATATAGGGATGAGAACTCCTCATAGAAATTAAAGAAAGAATTTTATTTCTCAAAACCTTCCAGTTAGACCAACACTGCCCAAAAGAACTTCTGCAATGATGAAAATGTTCTTTATCTGCACTGTCCAATACTGCACCAATTAGCCACGTGTGCCTACTGAGCACTTGAAATGTGGCTAGTAAGACTGTGAACTGCATCAACTTCTGGAACTTTTAATTTTATATACTTTTATTTATTTTAATTTTTTAAAGGTTTTATTTATTTTTGGAGCGAGGGGATGGGGAGGAGAAAGAGAGGGAGAGAAACATCAATGTGCAAGAGAAACATTGACGGGTTGCCTCTCCCACCCCTAACCGGGGACTTGGCCTGCAACCTAGGCATGTGCCCTGACCAGGAATCGAACCGATGACTTTTTGGTTTGCAGGACAACACCAACCCATTAAACACACATTAAACACGCCGAGCCACATCAGTCAAGGCTAATTTTATTTACTTTTAATTAATTCAAATTTAAATAGCCACACGTGGCTAGTGACTGCAGTGTCAGATAGCACAGACTTAAACATACGAGGACATATCTTTAGCTCACTTGGCTTTGCTTTTTGTTTCCTGTCCTTTGAAAGATTCACTACTCACTGAATCATATCTGAATAGCTTCTTACGACTCAAAACCTGGCAAATCCCCATTTTAGCCAATAGGAAGCTTCATGTGTCTTCAGGAAGTTAATTGCTACTGAGATCTCACTACATTTAACAGCACAGCTTCAAATCCTACAGAGAAGATTTCTGTGAATGGGAATACAGCAACACAACACCAAAACACTGGTGCCTTATGAAATCAACTTCTGTGCTAGGAAAAAATATGCTGGAACAACTAAAAGCCAAAATAGAAAAAACACTAAAAAAAAACCCAACAAACTATTCCACACTTTCTCCATGGAGAGCCATCAAATGGAAAGGGCACTCTGGAAACTCTTCTGATTTCATTTTCTGATCTATAAATCTGCTGATCACGCACATCCTTTCCTGCACGGCTCTTTTCCCATTACAAATCTGTCGTGGCGACTCACTAACCTGCCATATGGCAGAGTAAATCCATTCAGGAAAACACACGAGTACTCTGTACCTCACCACACTGATTTAGCTAGGCAGACTAGCTTCTTTAGAGGAAAACCATATCTGATCATGAAATGGAAATCACCCAAAAGTGACACAAAAGAAAGAAGCTACCTTAAATCGACACACAAAATAGGGAATAAGGAGAACATAATACTCAGTACAAGAAAGACAATGTGTTTAACTCACCTCTCATACATATTCTGAGCACTTTACAATCCTAAGATTTCTACTTAAAACATACATCATTCCGAGTGACAGGCACCCAAAATCCAAGAGATAAACCTGCAGTGTCGCTGGGAAAGAGCAGGATGTGCTCTAACAGCTCTCCATCACCAGATAGATCCGCAACTTTAAATGAATTTCTCGCATACCTTAGACCTGCCTGCATATGTAGAAAGTAAACCTGATAAAATATTAGTTTTTGCTTCCTCAATTACCATAGCTTTATTTTAAAAATCTGGATCAACTGGAGCTTAAAACTATAATCAACATTTAAAAGCATCATACTATAGTTAATATCTTGAAAATAGTAAATTAAAAAAGGTAACAAAATCTTTTCAATTCTTGCCTTTTGTTCTGATGAGAAATTTCTAGATTTTTCACATTATGTAGCAAATTCTGTATGAAGCAACTGAACACTGTAACCATTTAAAAATCTATAGCTTGAAAATATGATTTGTTTTTTTATTGGACTGTTCCAATTATTCTCAAATAGCAAATTTCTTAGCTTATCCTAAATACATTTCTGCATCACCAGAAATGAAATTTCTATGGGAAAAAAAAATCAACAAAAGCAAATAGGAAAAAAAAAAAAAAAAGAGAATCTGTCTACTTCAAGGAGATTTCCATTTCTTCTTTCTCATTGTATTAATTTTTTCTCAGTTCTTAACTAAGGACAGTGGAATAATCCTGCCTGGTCTTGGTGAGACCAAGTGGCATAAATTCCAGCTTCAGAGAGAGTAGACACTATGGTAACATGCTGACAGCCTTCATTTACATAAAAGAATACTAATTACGTGGTATCATCAACATCTGCGATTCTGCTCACTGCCATATGCGACAGTGCAGGGTATTTTAACCCTTCAACTTACTTAATGTACCCTAAATCACACATACCACAAAACCTGCAAAGGCTGCTTTAAGTGATACAGTGAATATATTTTTATAAATAACAAATGTTAAA